TCGCTTATCAGCTCGGCAACATGGTATCCTCTGCCAGCGCTGATGACCATCACACACGCGGACGGCATGATGGAGAACGTTCCATGTTACGCAAAGGTGCAAAGAATTCTCATTGGGTGTGTTGCGGTGTTCTTCATCGTAGTGACTATACTGGGCTATGAGAAACACCGGTCGCACTTTGAGAAGCACAAAGCGGCATTTGAGGAGGGTGGAGAAGACGACGACGACGTCCCCAGACATGCAGATCCATCATGTATACGAGGTTCGGCAAGTATGAACGAAAAGGCGTCAGTCTAACAAAAAGAGTCCATAAATGTTATGTTATTGGATAGATTCATATTATGATTGTTATGTGGTTAAGGGACTGTATTCTGACAAACATGACGTCGATTGATTGTACTGTACTTCACAAAAAAGTGGAATAGCACTCAAAAATGCATATCTTAATAATTTAACTGGTCGAAACCCTGAACAATGTACTTATTGAGCGTGAGAGTCACGGATAGCAAAGGTTCTACGCACCTTGCGTTCCAATGACGCCCACAATTCCACCCTCTTAACGACTCGGAAGTCATTTAAACCGTCTCGTGGCCAGCTTATATGCGTCTTAGATATACACAGCCTAGATGACATCTTAGTATGCAGCCTCATGAATACTAATCATGTACTTTTCGTCATCTCCCAGACTAAATGGTATATTCATCCTCCCAAGGTCATTGGTGATGTAGATGCTGCTTGTTCGAATATATCTCCATCACTGCTGCCTACGACCGAAAAGCAGGAAATGAACGCAGTCCTTGTATCGGAGTACGTCAGAAACGGGTCGACCAACAACAGGCATACCGTCGCTTTTCCCGGCCTAAACTGTGCGAAGCTCTCAGACCGGTTTCAAAGATATGTACCAGAATTTTCTGTCAAGTACAAGTGGTAAAAGAGCGCATATATTCACCTTCAGCGCGTCTCGACGCGTCGTATTGGCGCCAAGGGAAGGCCAAGCCTATAGGTCTACCGCTAGTATGGCTTCGTTGAGGCGGGTGGAACCATCACTGAGAATAGACGCCGTTCTAAGGATATTCAGGAGCTCTCACCGTCTCCGGTAAAACAGAGAAAAAGGTGATGGTCGTACAAGTCGAAGAAGCGAACCTGTCCCCACCGACCGAAAACGTCGCCAGCGGGATTCTACGCATTAAGTAATCCCACCTTTTCGGGTACTACTACCCCCCTCCCTTCAAGGCTGAGCAGTGATTGGTGACAATCTGACCTTCAGCGTATCCGTCGAACAGGTCTGTCGGAAAGTCGTTTTCACCTTGATCGTGAACAACAGGAAAGTACATTGCTCTTTTTTTGCAAGTTTTTTGCGTGAACAGTTAAATTTCAACCAATGGTTCTACGTCTCCGGATATTATTCTCAGCTCTTCTTTGACATTCTCAGGTCCATTTTGTTAATCGTACTGACAATATAATTCTCACAAAGAACAATTGTGAACATCGGCAATTCTAGCGTTTCTACATCATCTTCATGGGTCGGTTTCATTTTCTAGCCCAGAGAGCATTAGCGAAGGCTGCGACCTTTGCTGCAAAGACTGGAGGTAGCGTCGTATCATGACCAAGAGTTCTTTCTTATTATTTTTCCTTCCAAAATGGTTTCAACTATTGTATTTGTACGTCTGCAGACACTCTTTTATTTCAGAACTATTGATATAGCCAAGGGCCCGTCTTCACCTATCATCATTTTCGACTCTCTGGTTTGTCATCACCATCTGAACACTATTTGGGGACCTCCATTGTAGATCTAGATCACCAGAAGTTTACCAAATCCTCCCGTCCACGAAGAGTTAATTATTAAGGCAGGCACTGTCACAGGAATACATACCTGGCCAGTTCCTAATTTCCCATGGGCTGATCCTTATGAGGAACAGGAGCTTTGAGTTTGATGTTCCATGGTTAACGAACATTGTGTGCGAAGACGTTTCCTCAGATGAAGGTGACTCCAAACTCTGTAACATTGGGATTGGTCAGCCCACCCTACCGTGGCCCAGACAACCAAAGTACACCCTTTTCTTTGTTCTGACGCGATATCAAGAATACCGATGCTTCCTTCCAAAGTTGTTACTGTAATTCAGGCCGCAAGATTCAATGCAGTCTGAGAACAAATTTACAGACAATGCCTTACTGATTTATTTATACATGATACTTGTCAGGCTACACCCGATATCCCATCCAGCGCATAAGATTTGGCATATTCTCCGCTAAAAATACAATCCTGACTTTCGTTACAGCACAACCCTTCTCCGCTAGTAGCAGGTGATTTGCTCGAATCTACAGATATTAGGGTCAGCCTAGCACCAAGGCAGAGAAGAAAGTTCGCCAACCTAGACTTCATTGGCGGTTCAATACACCGGTATTCAAAGGCCAGGGCCTACCCATCCAAGTCACAAGCTCTGTATGGTCACGATACGAGTCTCCAGTATTGGGATGGATGAGGACACTGGATCGACAGATGAGACTCGGCTACAGGCATACAACGATAAGCGAACTGACGAGCAAGGTCCACGGTTCACCACCAGCCAGGAGAATAACGTCCCTGTCATGTGAGGCGTAAAAGTATCCACCTCAAACATTGGGATGGGATGAGGACCCACAGGTCGCTCCCAGAATCGAAAGATTCTCATCTATATAGAAGAACATTAACCTTGAAACATAAAGCATAAGTCAATGTATACCTCCGGAAATTCTCTTCTGATTCTTTCATGCAGCTTCCTGCCATACTCCATCTCGTCCGGAGCATTCTGCATATAATAGACTGTCGTTCACTCTTCAGTGTCATCAACCCCGGCCACCACGCCAACAGGACTGACTGTGAAAGTCGAACCCATTATTCTTTTTATCAATTGGGTCCATAAACTCGTCGTACGCCTTGCTGAGCACTGGCTTTCCCTGCTCGTCCTTCTGTATGTCATTCGTCAGCGATTCACCCTTTGGGTTGACGCCGGTCGGGAGAGGAGAGGCATTCTCGTATCTAATGAGAGGAGAAGGGTATTTGCCCATTATTCGGGTCACCTAAGGGGTGGTTGGTGGTCCTGCGAAAAGGCGGACTGCATCCTTATATACTGTTCATCAGGGCCTAATCACACGAGTAAGTCGTGTCATCACAGGAACGTAAGCATCGATACTCAGTGTGGGTCATTCTCGTTATTCAACGACACTGGACCACCAGTCAGTGCGACGGCTACGGTGTATTCGTTTTGATAGTAGTCATTGCAGGGTAAGCAACTCAGCCCCGTATTCAATGCGATGTATATCGGAATTTACCAATATATGCAATAAGGATTGAGCTAAAGGATATATCCATCATTGAAGTTCAACGCTGCCTCAAAGAATAACTAAAATGGTACTGCATATCTGAACAATGACGCTAGCGTATGTTTCGTGTGTCGCTCGAATCTATGACTAAAAAGTAAAAATCATATGCGCAATGGCAACGAAATTACTCTAGTGGGAAAATACCCACCTTCTTTCATTAAAATATTCAGGCGAAGCCCCGGCGCGTGATGTCATAGTTGGCAAATGGCAAATGAGCCTCGGAACACGACGCGCGTCCTACCAAAGGTGACGTGTTTTATCAATGCCGGCGACGCGTTAACCTCGGAATTCCTAAAAATAGATTAGATAAACAGTAACAAAGCCCATACCCTGGGCCTGTAATGATAAACTTTTACCTGTGAAGCAGACAGTTGAGAACGAAAGTGTGACCGTCCCCACAAGTGTTCCTTTGTAATCAAGATATCCCAAAAACTTGCTATATCCTGATAATTACACACGCCATTCATAGTACACGGTAAGATTACACTCAAAAAGACGTTAGCCCAATCCAACCAGGAAACAGTGTCTTGTTCCACGCAGAGGGATCCTAAAATCTCCCACAGGTCAGCCGCCCGAATGTCTTATGAATCCAGAAAAGTCGACGATAATGACTTGGCAGGGGATAATATCAAATTCACAGCAGGAATCCCAGGTGAATGTGGCGATAGTAGAGCTATGGAAGATGCTGATGCTAAGCATGGCAGTGGCTGGATATTCGTCGTCGAATCTGAGGACAGGTACCTTAGATATCTATCGTACAGGCGAGCTATAGAGACTGTGCTCCACAGATGTCCCCAGGCGCTGACGAAGGGGAGAGCATCCTGTAAGAAGACGTATCCCGCAGCGTAGAACGTCGTCTTTCAGTCTTGATGGAACATAATCTTCCATGCGTCTGCTTGAATATGATGTCGCGCCCAACCGGTTACATAACGTATATCCCTTCCGTGTGAAGGAAGTGAGAGTTGTAGCCACGATGCTCCCGATGGAAGCCACGATAGTCCCCAGAACACTGCCGCTTTTATACGTGGAGATATATTTTTGATAAAGATTTCGCCAGATGTACCGCCGTACGAAATGTGACTGTCCTGAGAGAAAACGATTGCAGCGTTTTGTTGAAGTTAAAGGACGATACGTGGTGATGGTACGAAGGAACATTCGGATTCTCGGCTCGGAAGACCCAAGCGGCTTTGTCCGGACTACCGGCATAACTAGCGGCCAAAAGGTTGGAACTTTTGGGACAGTGTCTGTAAAAAGCCCCCGTTTGACTTTCGTCCCAGATCCAGTGTTTCATCGTCGCGCGAATAGTTCCGAATGCAAAGGCTCCGAATATCCATGTTGCAGAGCGATTATACAGACGCTAGTATGCGTGAGGTATATGAAAGTAAAAGAAACAGCCAAAAGAAACGTGTCCGCAACTATATCAGGATAACCACCACCAGCAAGATACACAGAACGAGGATCAGCACGAGGAGGCACCATCCACTGCCTCGTTCCTCTGACTGTTGTATGAATCCCCTCATGCAGCCCATGCCACGTTTGCTGTCTGTTCGTTCTACCCCAGATTCCAAGTCAGTGAGTAGTCTGCAAAAAGGGGTTTGTCAGTCAAGGAAAGCGAGCAGGAATGAGAAAGAGACAACGGACTCGGTATGTTCTACGATTTCCTGACCGATGAGCCCAGCCTGGTGAGCCAAATTGCTCAGCGTCGCCGCTATTGAGTCAATTGTTCGGTCTTGTTCTCTAATCGTCATCTGTTCAGCAACGGTGAGTTCAAGGGTGAATACAATTGATGTGATATTCGACGAACTTGCTGTTCCTCCCTCGCACAAGCACTCTGGTCATCCACAACCTCGTCTTCATGCTGCTGGGACATATACGTAGGAGCTAGCCGTCCACTGGAGACGTCCGTACACATACTCTTCACCACAACGTCCCATCAGTCCGAGACCGAGGTGCAGGCAGGGAGGTGCGGCATACCAGTATCTCTTTCCTAACATGCTCAACATATCGCCTTCGCTCCATTACGTCTTCGTGGGTTGGGGCAAACATCCGGGGGTCTGTGGATTCTACGATTCTAATGAGACTTCAGCTCTAAATATAAGGGGGGAGAAAGTGGGAAGGACGGACTTGACGTTCTCCTCCAGGTCCTCCAGGTCGGCTTCTAATGCTGCAACGGTTGCCTTGAACTGCAGAGAGAACGAATCAGCCATCATTCCAGAAGAAACACAGGACAAAAGACATAAATATGTGAGGAACCACAACGGAGAGCGATGAGGTTTCCCTTGCCCAGGGAGTAGGGGCCCCAGTATCAGGAAAAACAATCAAGCCAGGTGGAGATAGACGCACCTCGTTCCTTGCCCACACAAGCTCTTATCCTTCTTCACATTCTCCTTTCATGTTTCGTATCCGGATATAGGACACCCCGAGCTGTGTCGCGGACTGTAGCGATGTCTGTATCTCTTGTTGGACTGCATGGTAGGGGTCTGTAGACATATTCTTCTATAGCAGAATTTTTGCCACAGAAAGCATGGTGAGCGGCTGAATATGGATGCATTTTCTGGCAATGGAGCGAGAGCAATAGGTGAAGATGAAGGCGAAAAACAGAAAAGGACTGCACCCGCTCTCAGACACTGGGATGTCACGTGAATCGATCGGGGAACGGGCCGGACCGTACACTGTTTGCTACTAGATCCCCTGACACTGGCTGGCAGTCTAAGTTTCGGAACACTATTGTATCTGTTGGAAATCCTCAGTGTAGCGCATCCAGGCTGGTAAGGCCAGAAAGAATGAACTTGTTATTCTACAGCTCCTACAGAGCTTGTATTTATACTCTCCAGGCTTGTATCTAGAATTTACTACAACTTTCTCTTTCTCTCCAGCTTACTCATCAACTCTCAGCATGATGCCGGATTGCCCTTTCTAGAACTTTCCAGCAAAATCCCAACAATATCAAGCGCTAAATGATCCACCTCACCACAACTCGTCGTCACAACCCAAAGTGATGTAGTGAGTCTTGTAGACTTCGGCATGCCGCACACATGATTTTGTAGTTAATCATCCGGCGGAGATTGCGATGATGGCATTGGATCACTTTACTTCCTGAGTCCTTTCTGAAAAATCAGGAAGAACTCCTGCTCAAATAGACTCATCTAAGACACGTAGACATGTTGATGCATGCAGGGCAGCGAAATCACCGAGTCCAAGTCATGTTAAATGAGTTCTAACACGGAATACCAAAAACAATTATGTTCTGTTACCTTTGCAACGTATTTAATCTCAGAAACCTCCTCCGGCTATTCTCCATGTACTTTGGTCTTGAATAGCCATAAAAATATCCTGTAAGCGACAGGAGACGACATGAATACAATTCGAGGGCGAACGCACATCGGAACTCTAAACAGGACTTGTCCTAATAAAGTCAATCACAATATCCGGAGACCGGGAATGATAGCAACAGCATCCAATCATATTATCATGACCCTCGAGCTGATCGTAGGAGTTCCTTGGGTATTGAATTGCGGCGGCTGTCAAGAATCCATCAGTAGAAAACTAGTGTACTTTTCGCGTTAAATTCTCGTACAAAATTCACCAAGCACGTAGCTGCACGGACGCTCAATGCAGGGCGAGCGGGCCCAAGTAGACAATGGTGCTCAAGGGAACGGAGGGGGGGAGGGACGCACTCCGGCCTTTGCCGGATCACGAGTAGCAAGGCATCAATATGCGGAAACCCCTAAATACTGCCTGTGGACCTTTCGACCCCAGCCAGAAACCAATGGAGTTAATATAATCTCAGGTAAGCTTTGGATTTTTTTTCTTATAAATGTTATTACGCAGACACCTCCAAAGAAACCTGCAAAATTGTCTTCTGAAATTATCTTAAAATCATCTACAGACATGTGCGACCACCCTTCTCAAAAATGGAAGCGGGTAAGTCGGAAATGATAGGTATCCGCCGGTATGTACCTGGCATGCCTCACCCCCTTTGACCGCAAATCAATGTGGCCTCTAGGACCGAACGCGACACATCTATTTCCCCAGGCTGATGCTGAGATTAAAGCGAGTGCACGTTCCTATTAACACTGCCGAGTCAAATACACCGAAAAAATTGTGTCCGGACTCTGCCCCCCTTGGTGCCCCCCCCTGAAGTAGATCGGAGGAGACAATCGAGAAGCCGTACCCCTGTGGTATCTACTAGTTGCCTTAAATTCGATCCTGGGATACGGGCTTGCAACTGTTCGATCTCTACTATCCTTCCTTGCGCGAAGTTTCCTGACTGACTTCGTCGCAAACATGCTGCTCGCCGCGATCATGTTCAATAGTAAAATACCGTTGACGACGGAGACAGTTTTGCGTATCGGTACAATCGCCATATGCATATACGAGTACGTATCTTCCTTTCATAGTCAATTGAGCCCACTCAAGCATCCCTTAGCTACGTTCGTACCATCCCAGCAGAGTACAAGTTTTGGAGGGACAAAGGTCCTCAGATTCGCCCCAAGTATGTTCCCTATCCTTTCTTTTCTTATCCGTGGCTAACATTTTCGTATTTGGCAGCCTCGTCTTGTTTGTCCTTATTAGGTACATCAGTATGGCAATGGTTATAGTCAGCAATGTTGGCTATTTTTTGCTTTCCTTTACTCCAGAATCATGTCGGAGGTTTTATATGGTCGCCGTCGTATTAAAAGGTTCTTTTCTGCAGTTTGTGAGCTCAGTGACTGATATTCTGGAAGTCATGCAGGCAACCGTGTGCCAATTTGTCCTTGCGCTGCGAACGTACAGCATCTCGAGACGCTCGCAGCGTGTGAAGATCTTTCTTATTGCTTTCACGCTGATAATTACCACCCTGGAGTGGTTCACTAACTTGTATGGAAGACTCATGCTCCAGACGAACGGCAAGTGAGTCTCATGTCTAATATGTCTGTAACCAATCCACGCTAACGAGTATCTGAAGTTGCACTTCTGGGAATGAACCTACGAAATTAGTGAACTGGACCTTCTACATCTGGGCAATGATGTATGTGAGATTCATTTCGTGTATTCACACTACTGATTTGACCTCTCAGGTATGATATTGTGACTCTTGGCCTCTCGACCTATTACTTGATCAAGGCTGGCGGGGCCAGCGTGTCTTCGTGAGTATTCACTCACACGTAGTTGTTTCAAGTTTGACAACTTTCAGTATGACTGGTCTAGTTAGGGCGATGGTTATGGATGGACTAGGGTATATCGTTATTCTTACCAGTAAGCTCGATGCATTTGAAGGTCTAATTGATGCTTACCGAGATACAGTCACGAATACGCTCAACCTCATTCTATACCGTGCATCGAAACTCGACGCCCAAGCTGCTGCGTAAGTGTTTACATCCTGCTCATAGCTTCACGCTTACGCTTTAAGTTCAGGGCGAGTCTTGGTTTCACCTTCACATGGATTATGACACAGAACATCCTCATCAAAACACGCGGTATGGTTCTTCTTACCCTCACTTACGACCTCTTGTGACGACCTCCTGCTTACATAGACGCTGGGGTCCGCTCGTTCAAATCCTTGCAGCCATCGAGTGGCAGAAACCCGTACAGCAGCAGCAGATCAGATGATCAGACCAACATGCCCGTTACTACGTCGCGAGGAATCGAGCTCGAAGTCCAGGTCAAGATCGATCGCGACCGTACAGTGGACCAGCAGGGGGTGAAGTGGGGTGTAACGGAAATCGACCTTAAGCCAGATCTGGAGCATTAGAATATCGCTGATTTGACCAAGTAGCATTGATCTGTGATTTATCTTCTTGTTCTTCATTCTTCTGGGTTTTGTGGGTTCTAAATCGCTAATTTTTGGGGTTCATAATGTACAAGTGGACGTTAACAGAGGATTGTCTTACTCTCCTTTGTATAATTAAAATATCCGAGCTGAAAATAATAACAGACACTCTTTCGCCGTTTTGCAATCTACCGCAACTCGGATCGGCATCGATTTACTATTGACATGAAACCGCTACCGCTACAAATCGTGAACCACAAAGTCTCGTCTCCATCTTTGCGCCTAACAACATATCATCGGAAGTGGATCGTTTAAAGGCAATGTGCTGGCCTACTCCATGTTTGAAAGTCCGCAATGCAACCGTCACAGTTGAAACTGTCAGCGTTCCGAGTCCACCATTATTCAT